ATGTCCGTCACTATATACTTGTTCGGCGTAGCCTCAGTTGGGGCTGACACCCGGCGTCCGTTTAGCGGCGGGTGGGTTTCCTCCACAATCCAGGTGAGCAAGCAAACAAGGGACCACTTACTTGTCATTTCTCCCTAGCTTCTGGTTTGTTTCCTGGTACTTATCGAGGAATCCTCCCCCTTTTCACCGCCTTTTCTGCGACTTCAGTTTCCACAGGGAAAGCAACTCCGCCCGCCGGGTTAAAGCCCCTCCCTCTACCCACCCCCAATGCACGAACTTCGAATGCGAGGTACGGAGAAGAGCACCGTGGCCAACTTCACGAAGATCACCAGCTGGCCTCGGCAGAAATCCCACGGATTCTCGTGCCGAAGCCAAATTGTATTGACATTCCACCGCGTAGATTTATAAAGAAAACAACAAATGACGAATCACCAACATCACCCACAAGGGGGCTCACTTTCAATTGGCAAACCAAACAACATGGTGCTTAGCTGCTCAAACCATCCAAGCAGGAAATTGTTCCTGCCAGGAGTCTTCTTGAGTTGCTACGCCTCATTGAATGGGAAACCGAAAGGGAAACCAAACGAGAAACCGCCTCTTTTTGTCAGCGGTAGGGCATGTTGTTGAACCTGCATAAACTGTGTGTTTTTTTGTTTGTTTTGAGGTATGTGTAAATGTCTGTCTCTTCTGCTGTTCTAATGCTTTCCTTTGCTTACAAAGACCCAAAAAAAAACTCGAGAAGGAAAAGCAAGCCACAAACACGGAAGAACAGAAACCTCTCAGGCAGTCTTTCCATTGCAACAAGCCTGCCCAAAACCAAAAAAACAGACACTCGAGAAAACAAAACCAAAACAATCCTGAGACGCTCTTTCCAGAAGTCGCATAGCAGTACCGTATCACTGTACCAAGAGTTTTTGGGAGAATGGTTTCGGGTGTGTGTGTGTTGTTTGTTTCTTTGGTGTTCTCAGATGCTTTTTGGTGGTTAGTTCTCAGCAGGGCTGATGCAGTGGAATTGTGTTGGTAGAAATTAAATCCTAATAAAATTCCAGGTTCAAATGGAATTTCGAGCTGAACTCTGCTTGAAACAACTGCTGCGTTTAAATACTACTGATGTGCAAATAAATTCTATTGGAAAGGAAATCCTGCGTAGAGCCTAAATTGAAATGGGATAGTAATTTATTATTATGATTGGATTGCTTCTTTGTCGAATTCCATTTCAACTCTAATTGAACTGTAAGGTTCTGTGTGGCAAGGAACTCTATGTATTTTCCAAAACTAAGATAGAATGACCAATAGGATTTGTAATAATCATTTCCTTACTAAGTCCTGTTTAAGTTAATTTCAAACTCTAATTGAATTTTAGAGAGCGGCCGTTGGTGAAAATGTGAATTTAGTACAACAACTGCCGTGCTTTACTGTTTTTATGATCATGGTGGTGCTGGGGGCTCGGTGAAAGAGCGATTCCTCTGCAATTCTTGCTTATTAAGTGTCGCTTATTATCTTGGTCAAATTCTACTCAATGTCAGGCTAGATTTAAATTGCACATCATAAGGGCAAGCCCGATTCAACAAGAGCTCAACATAAGAAAACATGTGCAAGCAGCAATTGCTAGCTTCTGGCTGGCTTCTGGCTGGCTTTGGTTTGGCTGGCTTTGGCTTTGACAAAAAAGGCTCTGGCTGGCTTCTGGCTGGCTTTGGTTTGGCTGGCCTTGGCTTTGACCAAAAGGGCTGGCGTTGGTTTGGCTGGCTTTGGCTTTGACCAAAAGGGCTCTCGCTGGCTTCTGGCTGGCTTTGGTTTGGCTGGCTTTGGCTTTGACCAAAAGGGCTGGCGTTGGTTTGGCTGGCTTTGGCATTGACCAAAAGGGCTCTGGCTGGCTTCTGGCTGGCTTTGGTTTGGCTGCTCTGGCTTTGACAAAAAGGGCTCTGGCTGGCTTCTGGCTGGCTTTGGTTTGGCTGGCGTTGGCTTTGACCAAATACAGATTTGGATGCACAATCATATAGCAAGTGCGCTGCCACAGTCCCCTGTCAGTTTGCTGTTTTTTGTGCTTCTTTTGGGGGGCCTAGACATTCCGCCAAACCAAAACCTGAGGAAAGCAAACAAGTATGCATAGCCAGCTGGTGCTTCGAGGCCATAGCCAGCCCAGTACTGGTTTAGCCCAAGGACCAGATTCTCATGGCCCCTGCATTATGGCTCTAAGTCGGGTTTGGGCTTTTTGGGACCCAGGAGAAGGTAGACACTGGAAACAAGTGTTTATTATTCTTAAAACTGGTTTTAATTCTTTGACATCAGCCACTATTCGACGGCCCGTGAATTTTAGGGCTGGAACCCATTTTTTCTTTAGCTGCCTCGAGGCTTGTAAAGAAGAATTAAAACCAGTTTTAATTCCTTTTTACGCAGCGTCACGCAAAGCCTGCACATTGATTGAGCTCAGACCATCAAGTGGAACCCGTCATCGCAAGAAGGTGCACAAACTGGGGCAGAACATTGTTCTAGTTGTACCTTCCATGTTCATTCTCTTCAGAGATCCTTGTCCTCCAACAATGTGCAAGTCCCCTGGCAAAATCTGGTGGCGCCAAGGAGGACGATTTGATGAATAGTATTGAATGGGGAACCAACCAAGTTGAAGCTTGCGCATCGAGCTCAGACAAGCAACGTACAAGCGTTTAGGTGAGAAACAAGAATCGTTTTCTTCGTGTCACAAGACTTAACACTGGCTTTAATTCCCATTTGGAACTCTTGCAAAGTCAGCTCGGTTGCAAGCCCCCCGATAGAAAAAAGGGGGCCTCCCAGGTTAAGAAGAAGGCGCCCGACTTCTCGAGGTCAAGAAGGGTACCCGCGGCATACAAACCAAGGTGGAAACATGTCATTGCTTTTGCTGCCGAGGGTCTGGCTCATGCGCGTGCAAAAAATAAAACCGGTGTTAATTGCTTACGCGAAACATCCAGTTGGCATATGCTGAAGACATGCTCAACTGAAACGCACCCACCCGAAGCCGAACCATTTGGACGACAAAGGAAAGCCCCGCCCTAGCACCACCGAGATGATGATGATGATGATATGGTGGTGATGATGATGATGATGATAATGATGATGATGATGATGGTGGTGATGATGATGATGATGATCACGGTGATTATCATGATGATCATGATGATGATGGTGGTGATGATGATGATGATCACGGTGATTATCATGATGATGATGATGATGATAATGATGATGATGGTGGTGATGATGATGATGATGATAATGATGATGATGATGGTGGTGATGATGATGATGATCACGGTGATTATCATGATGATGATGATGATAATGATGATGATGTGGTGGTGATGATGATGATGATAATGATGATGATGATGGTGGTGATGATGATGATGATGATCACGGTGATTATCATGGTGATGATGATGATGATGATGATGATGATGATGATATGGTGGTGATGATGATGATGATAATGATGATGATGATGATAATGATGATGGTGGTGATGATGATGATGATCACGGTGATTATCATGATGATGATGATGATGGTGGTGATGATGATGATGATAATGATGATGATAATGATGATGATGTGGTGGTGATGATGATGATAATGATGATGATGATGATGATGATGGTGGTGATGATGGATGATGATCACGGTGATTATCATGATGATGATGATGATGATGATGATGATGATGATGATGATGATGATGATGATGGTGGAGTCTTTTTCAGAAGCCGCCAGGATTTAACACCAGGTTTAATTCTTTTTCAGAAGCTGCCAGGAACTAACATCAGGTTTATTTCTTTTTCAGAAGCTGTCAAAGAAAGCCTAAAACGTGTTTTAATTCCCCGAAATGAGCCTACATGGAGAAATAATTAAACCTGATGTTAATGCTTCAAGACCTGCTACCACGGAGAGGTATTAACATCCATGTTAATACCCTGCAGCAGCTGTCAAATAGTACCCAAATCCAAAGAATTAAAACAGGTGTTGATGTTAATTAACACCTGTTTCGACCTGTTTCGACTCCTTTTCCCCAGGAGAAGCTCTGAAGTTTCAAGAACCAGTGAAGAACAGCTGGTGGCCGCTGGAAACTGCGGCTGCAGACGGCACGCCTAGATGATGGCAGAGAAGCCCCGCAAAAGGCACGGCCAAGAAAGGAACCGCGAGTGTCACACTTATCTGAGAAAAAGTGACTGGACATTTGCGTCTCAAAATAGGGGCCTGTCGGTTCTCCTGTTCTTTCCCTCTCAACCAAGAAGAGGGCGCCAACAAACGACAAAAAAACGCCTTTTTCCTCTCTTCCTGAGTGGACGGCCCAAAGAAAGTCCAGACTTCTTCTTTGCCACTCATCTGGACCACCTGGGAGGTGAGATCCGATTTGAAAAACCGCGCGGCAGAAGAAGAGGAAGAAGCTGGAGCCCAGGGTGGTCACGGCGGAGCCCACGATGGAGCCGGACATGGTCTTCAGCGCGAAGACCACCGCCTGACGCCGGCGCTCGCTGGGCGGGTCCGTGTCCGGGGTGTCCAAGGTGTGCTCCTGGTACCTCAGCCGGGCGCACCAAAGTGCGGGTCGAACGCCGGGCCGAAGTCGCGGGTGGAAAATGGGCCGGGTCGGCTTCTCAAGTGGGTTGGTGTGTTGGAGGTGTGGAGGTTAGGTCAGGCGGGAAATCCCACTGACTCTAGGAACCAAGTGGTGGGTTGCTCGTTTGGAGGTGTGAGGGCTGGGGAACCCCGTTTACCATCTAGAACCAGAGGTTCAATTCCCGAACCCAAACCACCAATCAAGGGTTAGCGAAGGAGCAAACTTGGGAACATTCCGCCTGGAAAACAGTGCGACAGGTTGCAAAATCAAAGCTGACAAAACTGGAGGGACCCCGAGCAAACAGATCGCGCCAATTGGAGGTCCGCTGGGAAATTTGGGCTCCTACGATCTAAGCGGCTACGGACCTACCGAAGCCCGTGGAAATCTTGAGCGCCCAAACAGTCTCCCAAAAGGCCCTGGCAACCATCGGCGACGGCTCAACCCTTGGCTGACCACTCGCCAAGGCGCTTGTGGGCGATGTGCAGGGAGTAGGTGATGCCTTACTTTGGGCCCTGCGAAAGAAGCTTGCATGCTGAAAGGTCATCAAACAATACTTTGGGGGAGATGTCCCTTCGAACCATGACTGGGAGACAAATTTTAAGAATGTCACTTTATGTCACTTGACTACGCAGGGGTGATGCAAGTTCATAATCCGTTTAACGATGAGAAGCGGCCGGTGATTGAAAAACCATGATTTCAGAAGAATATGATCGACCCATTCTTGCAAGCCCCACCTCAAAGACACACAAAAGAACGGCTCTTCAAAATGAAAACCATCTGGAATGAGGATTGGATGTGGGCATGTGTGAAAAAACTTGGGGAGCCCTAAAAGTGATGGCTTCCCTTTCAGTGTCCTTTCCTTTAAACACCACCCCCCCCCCCAACCAAGAAAAAGAAGCCCAAGCAGCCTCAAGCAATGCAGGCCACGCACGCAGAAACGCAGCCAGGGGCCAGGAAATTGGCTCGTTCCCAGCTGGGGCCCTGGGCTTCCCCGCTGTAGCCCACGAAGACGATGAGGCCCAAGATCTCCAAGACCCCCACGGCCCAGCCCATGACCACCAGCATAAACCAGGCCAGGGACACCGTCACACCCACCACGTTCAAGACCACCTTGTCTTTCGAAAGGAGAAGACGAGGGAAGACGAGGCAACCGGGCGGCAGGTGGTTTGAACAAGATTGATGGGTATCAGAGTGCTGACCCTAAACCCCTGGGTTCGCTGCAACGAGACAAGAGCGCAAGCGCAATCAGCTTGATGGCCGGGATGGTCGATACGGTTTTCCGTGGTGGCATTTCCACAAAATTCGAGTGGCCATGGAAAAGAAGGGCAGCTTATTGTTGCTGGTTGATTCTAAAGGGAAGCCCCTCCCTTCAAAACACTAGAGTCACTAGAGAATGAGGCATCAGGGTTTGGATCAAAAATATGGGAACTCGGACCCCCTTGTTTCGGGTCGTTTTCCTTTGGTTTGTAAGACGCAATCCACTCCCCCGACCGAGCGAATTCTTCAAGGGCCGGGCCATCAGAGAGAGGAGCAGGTCGCAGTGGGTGAAGAACAAAGCCCCCAGAAACCCGCAGGCAGCGCTTACCTGTGGAGATCTGTTGTCTTGACATGGGATCCCACCTAGCTTGAGCCCCAGGCAGTTTCTACCGTCCAAATGGGAATCTAGTGTGGGGAACATTGAAACTTCCAAGGGGGGTCTGATCGAAGGAGCTTTAAAAAAAGGATTGTCCCAAATTGCCCTGGGACCCTGGAAAAGGGGCATGTGACTGCCTTAGAGACAAAAAAATGAAAAGGAAACAGGAAAAAACGGGGCGCGTTGCTTTTCTCTTGTTTGTCCCCTTGTTACAACATATTTTTGAGACAATTCCCCCACCAAGGCTGCTTTGCGGGACCAACCACCTAATTTCGGCCCAAACCGATAAAAAGGGTCGGTTGGTCCACGACAAGAAGGGGGGGCCCAAGCAAAAGATTGGCAACAAAAAGGTCTCCGCGATCCAATGCAGGATTCTCCACCAATTTATCGGGATTGCTTTGGTGTATTTTTCTTCGGGTTGGTAAATTGGGCATCATATTCATCTAAACATCGATTCACCAAACTCGACGATCAACAGGACACCGATCTGTCAGCATCGAATCAAACGATTTGGCGATGTTCTTTCCAGGCGCGATCCACAACCCCACTGGCGGATGGTCCCCCCCCTCAAAAAAAAAGAAAAGAGAAAGAACATCCGTCAACGGAGTAGTAGTTGTTGTTTGGTCTTTCTTTCTCTGCGTTTCTTTTCCTTTCCGGGGGCAAAACATGCGCAGCAATTGTGCTTTCTTCGGTCGAGGGCGCGATCATGGTGAGGATGGTGCTGTTCACGATAGCCATCTCCGCCTCCGCGCGGATCCACAGGCTCGAGGTGTGCCAGGTCTGGCCCAGCTCTACGGGCGCCTTTTGGTTCAGGTCCACCACCGCCTGGAAAATCGGCATCGGCCGGCGGGTTTTGTTCTTGTTTCTGTCTTTCCTTTTCTTTTTTTTTGGGGGGGGGAAAAGGGGGGGGAGTACACCACAGCCTCACCGGTCCCCACGAAACGAAAAACGGCCGGGGGCGGCTTTTCCCGAAAGCATCGCAAAGGGTTCTTCCGTGCGGAGCCCTTGGACAAGTTACATAGAGCCAAGTTACATAGAGCCAAGTTACATAGAGCCAAGTTACATAGAGCCAAGTTACATAGAGCCAAGTTACATAGAGCCAAGTTACATAGAGCCAAGTTACATAGAGCCAAGTTACATAGAGCCAAGTTACATAGAGCCAAGTTACATAGAGCCAAGTTACATAGAGCCAAGTTACATAGAGCCAAGTTACATAGAGCCAAGTTACATAGAGCCAAGTTACATAGAGCCAAGTTACATAGAGCCAAGTTACATAGAGCCAAGTTACATAGAGCCAAGTTAGAGCCAAGTTACAGAGAGCCAAGTTACATAGAGCCAAGTTACATAGAGCCAAGTTACATAGAGCCAAGTTACATAGAGCCAAGTTACATAGAGCCAAGTTACATAGAGCCAAGTTACATAGAGCCAAGTTACATAGAGCCAAGTTACAAGTTACATAGAGCCAAGTTACATAGAGCCAAGTTACATAGAGCCAAGTTACATAGAGCCAAGTTACATAGAGCCAAGTTACATAGAGCCAAGTTACATAGAGCCAAGTTACATAGAGCCAAGTTACATAGAGCCAAGTTACATAGAGCCAAGTTACATAGAGCCAAGTTACATAGAGCCAAGTTACATAGAGCCAAGTTACATAGAGCCAAGTTACATAGAGCCAAGTTACATAGAGCCAAGTTACATAGAGCCAAGTTACATAGAGCCAAGGTTAGGTAGAGCTTAGAGCTTCGGCGTTAGCAGCTATGTAAGTTAGTTTAGGTTTCTAAGGCGCCGGGGCGGGAGTTTGATCGTCGCTCGGGATTGCGACCCTCTGCGGAGATTCGCGTGGTCGAGGTTCAAAAACTGCGGACTTTTTACGATTTTTAGCATGCGCGCGCGACCCTCTGCGGAGATTCGCGTGGTCGAGGTTCAAAAACTGGGACTTTTTACGATTTCTAGCATGCGCGCGCGACCCTCTGCGGAGATTCGCGTGGTCGAGGTTCAAAAACTGAGGACTTTTTACGATTTTGCTGGCGCGCGCGACCCTCTGCGGAGATTCGCGTGGTCGAGGTTCAAAAACTGGGGACTTTTTACGATTTTTAGCATGCGCGCGCGACCCTCTGCGGAGATTCGCGTGGTCGAGGTTCAAAAACTGCGGACTTTTTACGATTTTTAGCATGCGCGCGCGACCCTCTGCGGAGATTCGCGTGGTCGAGGTTCAAAAACTGAGGACTTTTTACGATTTCTGCTGGCCGCGCGCGACCCTCTGCGGAGATTCGCGTGGTCGAGGTTCAAAAACTGAGGACTTTTTACGATTTCTGCGGTGCCGCGCGCGACCCTCTGCGGAGATCGTGCGCGTCGAAGCGCTCTCGCTGTGGCGCCGTGCGAATTTGTCTTAGTCTCGGCGAACCCTCTGCGGAGATTGTGCGTGTCGACGCGCTCTCGCTGTGGCGCCGTGCAATATTCTTGCTCGCGAAACGGCCTTTGGAAGTTGTCTCGTGGTTTGCGCGCCTGCTTTCGCAATCCCGCGGTCGCGGGTTCGATTCCCCCTGGTCCGCGGCAGCTCCGGCTTGAAAATCGCAGCTTTTAAGTACAAACGTAGTACGCGGAGCGTGCTCCTGCAGCTCCGGCTGGAAAATCGTAACTTTTAAGTACAGACGTAATGTGCGGAGCGTGCTCCCGCAGCTCAGGCTGGAAAATCGCAACTTTTAAGTACAAACGTAGTACGCGGAGCACACCCCCGCAGCTCCGGCTTGAAAATCGCACCTTTTAAGTACAAACGTAGTACGCGGAGCGTGCTCCTGCAGCTCCGGGTGGAAAATCGCAATTTTTAAGTACAGACGTAGTATGCGGAGCGTGCTCCCGCAGCTCAGGCTGGAAAATCGCAACTATTAAGTACAAACGTAGTACGCGGAGCGCGCAGCTCCGGCTGGAGAATCGCAACTTTTAAGTACAAACGTAGTACGCGGAGCACACCCCCGCAGCTCCGGCAGCACTTGCGCGGAGCAACTTGCGCAGAGTCACTTGCGCAGAGCAACTTGCGCAGAGCAACTTGCACAGAGCAATTGCACAAAGCACTTGCGCAGAGCAACTTGCACAGACCAACTTGCACAGAGCACATGCGCAAAGCGCTTGCACGGAGCAACTGGCGCAGAGCCTTGCGCAGAGCAACTTGCTCAGAGCACTTGCGCAGAGCAACTTGCACAGAGCACTTGCGCGCAGCAGCTTGCAGAGAGCAACTGGCGCGCAGCAGCCTGGAACAATGCAGCTTGCGCAGACCACTTTCGTGAGAAATCGCGCGGCGCAGTTCGAGAGGAAAGTAGGATGATGAGATGGAGCTCTCATGTGACCATACACACTGAGCATCGCCGCGCGCAGACACGCTCGCCGCAGCGATGTAAAAAGGTGTCTCCGCGGCTGGATGAGCACCTGTGGAAAAATGCTTTCGGGCCAGTCGTCCTCTAGTGTTTTTTTGGTGGTGGGGGGGGGGAGGTACACCCGTGGTTTAGCCTCACCATCCCAACGAACAACGAAAAACGGCCGGGCGGCTGGTTTTTGTTTTGCCTTTTTTAGGGAGTACACCCGTGGTTTTGGGGCTGGTTAAAAGGGAAACCGAAAGGGAAACCAGAGAATTTGGGGGTCCGACCTGTGAAAAGACACACCCATGTTTGGGTTCCCTCTGACCCTTTGCTGGCTTGATGTGGAATTTGAGCCCATGGTTCTGGAGGGCAAATGGGAAACCACCCCTGACCAAGCTTTTTTTCTGGATTTCCCTCTGCAAACACCCCAAAAGGAAACTCACCTTGAAGTGATCCAAAGGGTGCCGTTTAGGCCTGCTGAATCAAGCCCCGGTTGAGCACGGCTTGTTCTTGGCCCGCCTAGTGGCTGTTTTGGGGGGTGGCCCATTTTTGAGGAGTCTTCCTGTCCAGCTATGCCGGCAGCTGCATGTTCATGATTCAGATCACCGACTGCCAAGAGAAACTCAACTTAAATGGGCCAAAAGGTGTTCAAGAATGAAAGTGCTGGAGAAAGGCTAACTCCCATCTTAATAAAGTAAGATAATATGTTTACCCAAAATAGGAGAACCCACAAAATGGTTGGCAGGTTGTTTTCCCTGCTGATTTCCCTTCAAAACCACCAAAAAGGGGTACGTCCAAACAAAGACAGACTCAAGTATAGTGGGGGGGGGAGTGGACGGCTGCCGTTTCCCCGGCCTGATCCCAGGCATTCTTCAAGGTGAGGATCGTGGCACTGGCAGCCGTCATGTAGTTCAGGGTCACATAGAACCTCAGCCAAGCGTCCATCAAGCCCGGAGGGATCCCTCATCCCTATTGCATTTTCCTTTCCGGAGGACTATAGGGATCCGTCATTCAGAGAAACATCTAAAGCTTTTCTGAAACCTCTCAAGCCGCAAGCCTAAATCGGTGTTTCTTAAGGGACAAGTTGTTGTTCTGGTACATGTGGCATACCGTCTAACCCAGTGCATGGTTCCTATGTCTAACATGTCTAACCAGATTAGCCGAAAAAGGCCACCTCTGGAAGCAGCCCGCAGGTCGCACGGTCCCGACGAACCAAGGGGCTGGAAGTACGTCGCCTTCAGCTCGAAGTTCTCCCCTAGCCACATGAACTCCTCGGCTCACCGCCCGTTGCTTCGCTAGAATTTCCTTCTCCCTCGCCCCGGGCCCCCCGCAGACTTCCGTGGAACCTCAAAACTTAAGGCCCCAAAAGGCGAGCACTCGCAAACACGACGGGTCTTTGAGATGCGCGCTAATTTGCAACTCCCTGGGCAATGACAAAGCTAGCCATCCCAGTGCCCCAAAGAACTTGAAAGTTCAAACATTCGCAGCATCTCCCAGCCCCGGCTCCTTCGCCAAAATCCCGTTGGGCAGCACACGCCCGTCCACAAACTCGCTGAAGGTCTTCTGAAAGAGGTTGGCCTTCGCGGCGGTCGCGAAGCTTCCGGAACCGTGGATTTGTGGATTTTGTTTGAGCCGGGGGGGAGCGACCTCAACCATTTTCCGGACAAACGTCAAAAAAAGCTCCACCACTTTTAGAGATCCAAAAGGCAAGATTTGCTGCAAAATATGTCTGTAGGAAACAGGATTTAACCAGCTCATCTTTTTCAATAACCTACTCTAACTCAACTATTTGTCCAAATAACACTCAAAAACTTGAGTCCTTGAGGGCAGCCCATAGATGTCATTTGCCAGTACATGCCGTCCAGCCTGCAGAGGGAAGGGCAGCAGCCTCTCCGCGGCAAAGTCCTAAGCGTCAAAAAGATGGGCGGGGGGGGGGGGGGGGGGGGGGGGGCGAACCCCAAGTGTGGTGTTCCTTTTGATGTTCCTTCAAACCAAGGTGAAAAGGGTACCCTCAATAGAACAAACCAAGGTGGAAAAATAGCAAGCCCTTGGCATCCGCAAGTTGACTTCGATGGTTTGCTGGGTGAAAGGTAACTCACGCAAAGCGTGAGACTCGTCCAAAAGCGAACCCATCCATCCCCCGGTCAAATTTATGCACACGGAAGAAGCCAGAAAAGCGAGAAAATCTGTGGGCAACTCCGTCTATTCTCCGAGTTGTTCAGCTCATTTTCGGGGCCGAATTCCCCGAATTCCCCCACCTTGAACTGCGTGATCCAGCAGGTGCTGGAAATCACCAGCAGCTCCTCTCGCGACGGCAGCTCGCAGGCCTAAAGCTCGCAGGCCGTGCGTGTTCCATGGGACCCCGGACCCGAAAACTGTGGTCTAACCCTGCGGCTTCAAACTGAAACAAAGCCAAACAATTTAAATTAAAAAGGGGGGGGGGGAAAAAACAAAAAAACTGATGCCCTCAAAAGGAGCACACTCAACACTGGCTCTTTTGCCATTGGACTTTTTGTGAGCTTCGGAGAAGTCCAAGTCAGAGTCGGTTGCACAAAAGCAAACTTTGAACCACCCAAACTGACCAACGTCAAGGCCTAAACAATCAGAATGTGGCTGCGAGGTACTGCAAAACCAACATTTGGTCACTAAACCATACTCTTGGCAAACCACCCATGACCCCATGGAACCCACTAAAGCCGAACCCTCCTAACCCCCAAACACCCTGGACCCCCCAAAACCGCTTCGTCTCCTCGACGCGGGTCCCCGCGACCCCCCCGCGCGACCACCACCGCGCCTGCAGCAGAAAGCGCTGGGTGGAGGGCGCCTCGGGTCGGAACTGCGCGCTGAAGCGCCAGGCCGTGTCCAGCGTGCCCAGCAGCGGGGTGCCGCCTTCCACCGAGAGACCCCACACCAAGGCCACGTCCACGGCCTGTCTCGATGCTACCGGGCCAGTGCAGGGAAGGAGGGCGAGAAGGGCCGGGGTAGGGCAAGGTGGGAGGAGATGTTCGGCCAATGTACCACCAGAAGTTTCTCCACTTGGCCGTTTCCACTGGTTTCACCGAAGAAAAGGAGCCCAAACAATCACCCGAACCTTGCGGGAGTTTGCCGTTTGTTGGTGTTTTCCAAGGACCTTTCTTCCCCAAACGTCCCCCGCCCCCTGCCCCCGTGGTTTCCATTACCCCCAGGGATGGCTTGGTGATGCCCCTCTCTAAGCTGAAACTTCAATGAGGATGTTTAAAGCACTGGTTCTTTGAGCCACGCTTTGACCAGGTGGCTGCAAGCAACAAAACAGTATGCGCAGGGTTGGAAACAAATGAGCTCAAGGTGGACTTCCCAAAAGCGCAACAACGAAGGGTCGCAAGGCTAACGGAGCGTGGACGCATCACCATGAAAATGCATGGGCCCATAAAGGCAACTGGATTCCCTTCCCAGTGGACTTCCATGGAAGCGAATCAGAACCCTTTGGTCGCCAAAAGGATCAAGGGCACTGGCGGGGGGGCTTGATTAAGCCCTAACCGGGTTGACCCATTTCTAAAATAAGGGTTCCCCCAATTCTGATGAAACCCCTTAGGTAAATAGGTAAACCATGGCGCTATATATGTATATCTCTCTCAACCCCATGGTGCTGTTCTGGCGCCAAACACTTCAGCAGAGCTGCACCCAGGAGGCTCCGTGGGGCCAGGCCAACGGCTGGTCCGCTCCCCTCCACTTCCTGGCGCCGACACCCCCCCCCCTAGCTCCCAGTCAGAAGAACTGTGATGTTTTACGCGGCTTGTTTTTTTGTTTGTTTTTTGTTGTTGTTTGTTTTGTTTTCTCTTTTTTCCGGGGCTTTTAACATGTGCTGCTTACCAACGTCCCTCTACTTGGTTCGAATTTGTGGTTTGTGGAAAAGGGGCGGCTTCCCGTTTGCCTCCACAAGAACCCAGCGGGCTCAAATTCCGAAACCACCAATCCAAACCACCAACGAGAGGAACAGGATGCGCGTGCATCCCGTGCTTTTGCCGACAGGGTCCCCCATTGGCACGACTTGCTCGGACAATCGAACTGGCGACGGGCAACCAAAATCCTGTCCACTGAAAGTGGTGGGGCGTACCAGCACCAAGCCACTCATCCCCATCCAAGTTCCAAATGAAGCGCTTGCCAATCCGAAAAGAAGAAGAAAACATGGAAGACCCAGACCCGTGGGACGCCGGCGAGGATTCAGGCTATGTCTCAAAGGAGGCCCTCAAAACTTGGTGATTCCCACTTTTCCCCCCCCCCCCAACCCCAAAAAAAACAAAGAAGAAAAAAACACAACAACCCAACATAACCCAACAACAGCACCCGCAAAACACCAACACACCCTTCCGGCCGACTGGGCTCCCCCCCAAAGCCCACCCGGCATAGCCAGCCTGTAGGCGCCGCTCCGTGAGCGCCAGAGCGATCTGGGACTCGGGCCTAGTTTTGCACAGGTTTGAGGGAGGAGAAGGAAAATCAAATAATAACCAGTATTTAAGAAAAAAAAGGATTCCAGCGCCCTCCTTACAACAATGGGTGGCTCGGCTGTTTTGAGAGTTCCCATTTTGGTGTGGTGAAACCAAAGGACAACATTCATGGGGTACCCCTATTTGAGACAAACCCCCTTCATGGAAGCTTGCAGAAGAGCTTTGGAAACTGAAGCCCCTTCAACAAGAGGGAAGGAGCTGTCCACTTCCATTGTTGAAACCGTTTGAAAGCAGCACCCAACTGAAATCCGTGGAACGCATCTAAATTTTGACAAGCAACATCAACTCCTTTAGGTTTCTAGTATTCCAACCCGCCTTAAAATAGGCATGAAGCTGGCATGCTTGATCCTTAAGGGTTCAACTTCCCGATCCTTTTTTACGGCAAGTGGTTCGTCACAGGGCCAACTTCAGATTTACTTGGAGAACCATACTGGTCAGGTTTTTTTCTAGTGGAGGGCCCTTTTTCGTTTCAACTTCCTCTGAGCTATGCTCCGACCGCCCGCCTGGTTGGCACCACCGGCTCCACCAAACGTTCGACCCCCGCATAGGTGCAGGCCGGGGCCCCGCAGTAGCACACCGTCTCCGCCACGCACAGCTGGCTGTTGTTCTGTAGCTCCACGGGGATGGCGAAGTCTGGAAGCACCTGGCGCGCGCGAAGGATGGCTCGAGCGAAGAGCGTTGGAGCTTGCGCCCGCCCACCCGCCCGCCAACCCTCCCACCCACCACAAGAAGGCGAACTAAACAAGAATACGCACAAAAGCGCACTCACACACTCACACACACACAGACACACAGAAACACGGACACACACTCTCACACACACACACTCTCACACACACACTCACACACTCACACACTCACACACTAACCACTAACACACTAACACACTAACACACTAACACACTAACACACTAACACACTAACACACTAACACACTAACACACTAACACACACCAACACACGCTAACACACGCTGACACACGCTAACACACGCTAAGACACACACACACACACACACTAACACTAGCACTAACACTAAGACTAAGACTAAGACTAACACTAACACTGACACTGACACTGACACTGACACTGACACTGACACTGACACTGACACTGACACTGACACTAACACTAACACTAACACTACCACTAACACTAACACTAACACTAACACTAACACTAACACTACCACTACCACTAACACACACACACACACATCACTAACGCACACTACACAATGCACACAGCTCAGAGCACATGCACATCATACACATACGCATAACACAAAACACGCAACATGTACACTTGACACATAGTTAACGCATCACACACGGCACACCCATCAGCAAACAAACGACCCGCTGAGTCGCTCCAGTGGGCGTCTGTTGGCGCCTCGTAGTTGGTGGTGAAGATCTCTCCGGTCTCCCAGAACTCCTGGGAGCGGCGCTAAGGAAACTCGTGGAGTTCGCTCCGATTTGCAAAAAGTCGCCAGTTCCTTAGGGAAGTGCAGCCAATGGCCTCACTTCGTCCTGAGTTGGCCAAGTCAATCCCAGGGAGTGCCAGCCTCACTTGAGTTGGCCTGAACAAGTCCACACTGTTGATTTACCACTAGAACGGTCCAACCCCAAGAGACTCTTCAATGTCCCTGGGTCTCAGTAGTTGATCAAACATGGGCTCTCTTTGAGCCTAAGGATGGAGCAATTGGAAGCCCGCCGTTGCTGTCCTGCTTCAGAGGCCGTGCGCCGGAGGCCGGCGGACTCCACTGAAAGAAGGAGAGCCCCATGCCCATCTTCAGCTTCTCCTCGTTCAAATGCTGATTGACAACCGTTTGTTTTTTTGTTTGCGGGGTGCACCATGGCAAATTCCCCCATGTCCCTTTTTGGAACCTCCAAAAGTGGCATTTTTAGAGGAAGCCGAGGAAACCACCGGACAATTGCAACTTTTGAAGGGGAAATCCAGCGATCCCTGACCTCGCTTAAGCTGTTGGTTCTGCAAACCTCTGGTTCAAGCCCTGATTTCCGTTGCGGTCCACTGGTCATGCATCCTGATCCGGCATGAAAAACAAACCCAACAAATTTAAAAGACTCTGTTGGCTTCATGCTGAAGCCTTTCAGAATGCCCCAAATCATGACGATGTTCAGCGCACATGAGCCAGCAAAACAACATGCGATTCTCCGGAAACAGGTATGTAAGATGCATATGTATATATATATATATATGTATACATACATTACATTACATTACATTACATTACAGTACATTAAGCTACATTACAATACAATACAATACATTACATACGTACACCCTAGCTGGAAATCAGAAGTACACTGTGCGGTTTGCTTTTGACGTGCCCATGGGGTCTGGGGAGGCAAGCCAAAAGGAAACTGTGGAAGGTAAACCAAAAGGAAAGCATTTCTTGTAGGGTCCAACACCCTACTTTGACACATACTCCATACTTGTTGATCAAGTGCCCCTCTAGCTGGTGGCTTGGATTGATGGCTCGGAGGTTGGGTGCCTTTCTCTCCTCCTCCAGGCCTTTGATTTGGTCTGCAAATTGGGTATTTTCGTTTCCCGGAATCGGACCCATGGATTTCGGTGTTCCTTTCGGTTTCCCATTCAAGCCACCCAAAAACAAAAAGCCCTTTACCACCACCCAATAACCCGGGCACCCGGCCCCTGGCAGCCCGCTTCCGGGGCCCCGCTCCTGGAGCCCGGGGTTGGCCATCTCCGCCGCCTCCAGCGCGAAGGCCTTGAACTCCTCGCTCTGCCGCCAGGTCTCCAAGGCGCCGCTCGCCTCGGGACGCACGGCAGGCGCGGCACGCACGGCACGCGCGTGGACCCGCTTTTACAGCTTCTCCGGGCGAAGCTAAATACCCAGTTGTGTGGGTTGAAGGGCGCTAAAACAAGGAAAAAAAAGAAAAAGCTGAAAAACCGGAGATGGCTGGGAACAACAAAGATGGAGAGGCCCAACGAGGGTGGCCTTGGTTGGTTTTGAGTCGCCTTGTTGGTTGTGTGTGGATTGTTGCGCTGGCCTTTCTTCCTCTTCGCCCTTTGGATGTTTCCTCTTTTGCTGCTTGTAGGCAAGAAACAACACAGCAGAAATTGAAACTGCAGAACAAACAAGCACAGGGCACCAAAAAGGGGACAAACAAGGCCCTCTAAGTAACCCTCCATCATGGTTGGCCACGGGAACGACGTTCCCCCGCAGCCTTGCAAAAAAGTTGTTGCAAGCCTCATGGTTCTAAAGGCAGGTCAACTGCAGGTGAGTAACCACGCGCCCAAACCAACGTGCTAAACTACACAACCAAGATCACGAAATCCAACCCATGGCATGGTACCCCCCTACCAAAAATGAACAGAACCAAAAAAAAACTTGTTGACTCCAAATGCCAAACAGGGACGAACAACTCGCTTTACTACCCCAACCTCATTCTGGAGATTTCGACTCTGCAGCAGCCGAAACTCGGAAGAAAATTCACATGTCTGGCCAAAAAAGGAGGAGAAGCTGACAAGCCGCCAGGCCCAAAGAATCATGTCTGACTTTTCTGGAGAATACCGATACCCCTTTTCTGGGTGGGTTGAAAGGGAAACCAAACGTCAAACCACCATTTTGGGGAGAGGGGGGGGTTACTAAAGAAGGCCACACCCATATGTTGGCAACATGGGCTATTTTTTCCGAGGAGACGCCACAAAACGACAACAGGCCAAAACAGTCACCTAAGTCCGGCCATGTTGCGAGGTCCCCCACCACGCGGGTCCGCACCATGGCGTGGGCTGAGCCCGAGCTCCTTCGGCGTTCAGTGACCAGGGGGTCCCAGAGGCCAGGGAGAAGCCTCCAAAATCGCGGATTCCCCTTCAGAGCGCCAATTCAAGAAGCACCAGCCAAAAAGGGTACCCTCCAAAAAAAACACATCTGAATGCAAAAAACGATGGGTTGGGGCAAAGGGGAACGCAACGGACACCGAACAAATTAATTGGAGATGGTGTCGGGTTTCACCGGATAATTTGATTCTTCCAAGCAGCTCACTCACTAACCATTAGTGAAAACAAGCAAGGCAAATCAGCCCATTCGAGGTCCATCAGAGAAACCGGCTTTTCCCCGACCACATGACCACAAGCCCACTTGGTACTTAAGTCTGTCTTTTTTGGAATGCACCTTGTTTCTTGCGGATTGAAAGGGAAGCCAAGAGGACAACCGAAATCCTTCATTTTTTGGGGAGGAGGTCCAAATCCTAAACAGGACACACCCAAAAGGGGAAAATAATCGCCGACCCGCTCCAGGAGCAGCTGCTGCTGGGCCATTGGGAGGGGAAACAGGAGCACTCCGGCCCGGAGGAATTGCCGAGCTCGGCCTGGGCGACTCAACTGGCACAACCTCTGAGGAGGGCTGGCGTACTAAGTATGAGTCATAGTCAAAACCCGGTAGTAAAATGGTCTACCCAGAACCATGCGAAGAATTAGGAAGGCGGCTGCAGCTGTATAGGGTTGGGATTGCCCCTTACTACCCTTCATCTACACGGGTTTTGATTGTGGCTCATATAATGTTCAAACCATGGTTTAAACAAGAAGTGTTTCTTTTTCTGTTTGTTCGTCGAAAACCTCTGAAAGGGTGCACCCCGTGGGTGCAACACATTTCTCCTGGCCTCGACCTCGGAACTTGAACGGCCCAGGATGGTCAAGGGCCCCTGCAAGGTGATCTGGCACTGGTGCACCGTGCACTGCAGGAATTCGTCCTCTTCCATGCAACCGACCACGAGGGCACTTGTTTTGGCACTTGTTTTGGCACACATTCGGCTAGAAAAATGGGAAGCACCAGAAGAAAAAAAAGCAGCCGGAGGTTGTGTTTTGCCTGGTCTTGAGGTTCACCCGGTCCTTGGTCTGGCTCCTCACAAAGTTGCAGATCCGGATGGTGTCAGGGGTCCAGCGTTCCCCTGCCTCCTCAAAGTCTGCCGACACGTCCTCGCGTTTCGGCGCTGCTCTTCCCCAAAGGTGTGACGTCGCTTTGGCGGCCCAGGTCGTGGATTGAACCACCAAGTGAATACGTGTCAAAACTGGACTGCCCTATGCTGCCCTCAGATTCCCCGCGAAAAGTTTCACTTTTAGTGGGTTAAATGGAAAACGCTAAAAAGCTAAGGAACCGGATGGCTAGGAGCCATTGAACAAAAAAACCGGGGGCCCCCTTCTCAGGTGCCTTGAGTGCTCCTCTCTTTGCGGCATCCCACGCCTCGATGCTGTTGAGGTTGTGGCCCGCGGGGAACATCTGCGGCACCCCGACGTCCACCGTCACCACGCCCGCCGTCCAGGCACCAAAGGTCAGCACCAAAACCAGAAAGAAGGCGAAGCACGGGATCCGGGCCACAACAATCAGGCGCTCCTCACTGAAAGACTCTTATGGACCTGGAAATACAAGGCGAACCAACATTGAACAAAATCAGACCAACAACTGGACCAAAGTGGGGCCTTGCCCAAAATTGGAAACCAAAAAAGGGAAAACCAAAAGGTCAAAAGGTTGGCTTTGAACAACTGAGGCTCGCAAAAGCCCCCAAGGCGCCCAAAGCACCCGCGGCACCCTCTCACCCGACACCACGAGGGCAGGCATTTCCGGCACGAAATCTTGTCGTTGAGGATGAGCAGGGCGGGCAAGCCCACGAGCAAATACACATAGGCCCCCAAGATACACATGCCTTAGTGAGTTGATCCTGAAAGTTGCACTTTTGGTCAAACACTGCTGTCTTCAATCTACCCAAACTCTAGAAAGCTTAAAGTCCATGTGTGTGTGTGCGTTTTTGTAGGAAACCCCTTCTTGGTGTTGTTTTACAGGGAAGCCAATGGGAAACCATTAAGTCTTTGAATTTCCCTCAAAAACGGAGACAACCCATACGGTGTGACCCGCCAAGCAGCCCATGAAAAATCCGAACTCGCGCAGGGCGCGCAGAACTGAGGCGAGGTTGGCGAAAAAGGACGCGGCAGTCGTGCACGTGGTCCCTAAGCCTGGGCTGGTCTCTTTGAGACCCCTTGCGAATACAAGGTTAGGCCTGGAGACCAAAGGGCAAACCAAAGGCCAACAGCAAACCAAGGGTCAAAGGAAACCTCAGCGATTTTGTCCAAAAGGTTTCAAGGCTAAATGACAAAGCGCCAGTTCGGGAAATCGTCATTTTCCCAAAGGTTCAAGGCGGAAGTGCAAACGAGGCAAACCAAAGGGCAGCCAAGAAACATGCCAATCCCGCGTGCTGGTAGACGTGTTTCACCCGCGCCACCGTGTCAGACTCCGGGTGGTAGGACTTGGAGTGCTCCTCCCAAGAACTGCCTAGAGCAACATCCACAAGGACTGCAGACTGTCAGCCTCCATGTTGGGAGGGAGTATATGAACTAGCAGACCCAACAGTGGATCAAAGAACCCAACCGCAGATCCTCAAACACAAGCAAAAACATATCCAAAATTAAAGCAACAAGAGCTGTACAGACCAACCGGGTAGCCCACGTGCTACCCGAACCAATGGGCTCTTGGGTTTGGGCCGCGTAGTGAGCCACTTAAGGCCGGGCGGCTGGGTCAGGCTACTCGCCTTCTCTGTTTCAAGCCTCTGAAAGATCCGGAGGGGTTGGGTTGCCATAACCCTGAACCTGCCCAAAATGCGCCTGCAAACCCGGGATTGGCGCTTTTCACTCCACAGCTGCCCCTCTTAGCGGCAGGCCCCAAACAAGCGACCGCCCTTCGTTTTGCGCGTCGCAGGCCGCAGAACGCGCGCTCGCTCCCAGAAGTTGATGAACACGAGCACCACGTCCGCGCCCAGCCCCGCGATCAGGAAGATGGACAGGAAGGCGGCGCCTGTGACCTCGTTGGAGCCGCTCAGCAGCGCGGTGAGCACAAAGGCCACTGGGATGGCCAAGATGGTAAGGAACCTCAGCACCAAAAATTGAGGACACATGCCTCAGCATAAATCTCCTTTCGGGATTTGGACCCCCTTCTTGTGTTCCATGCGACTCTGCGGGGGCCTTTCTCCTGGAAAGCCAACAGCTAGACGAAACTAGGAGCCCAAGACGGGCGGTTATGAACGTTTGTGTGACCCTTCGTAACCCCCTACATCAACTGCTGGAGCCACCGACAAAAAAAGAGCGACTTGGGGTTTAGGGCGCTCAAATCGCGCCGTTGAAACGGGTGGCTAATGGCGAAGGGTCGGAGATTGAGTCAACACACCCCTCATGAGTGGACTGCCCCCACCCCACCCAGAAAGTCGCACATTTTTTTGTATGTAAATGTGAAAGCCAATAAATACACAAGCAAAAACATACTTATTTATACATGCACACACACACATGCACACACACATGCGCACGGCCGCGCACATGTATGACTCCACCCCCTAGCCACGCAGCATCGAGCCACAGGACAGCAACATGCTGCCCGCGTGCAGGGTGAGGTAGGAGATGATGAAGGTGATGGAGCCGATGGCGAACAAACAATCAGATTGTAACACCGCGAGCAGCTGGAGGGTGTTCAGACCCCCGCCCTCATAGTTCAGCCTGCCCCCAAAAAAAGGGGAAGAAAAAAAACGGGGTGCCCAGGCTGGTTCAGCGATCCCACACAAAGGCGGCCGCTTTTTGGGGTTCGCGATCTTTAGTGGGGAACCCACTGGACAAGTGGGGCTGTCCTGGAAAGCTGCTTCTTTAAAAAGAAGCCGCCCTGTTCAACCTTTCTCAAGCTCCCCTTAGTTGGTGGTTTGGATTGGTGGTTTGGGATTTGAAACCTTGGTTCTTGTAGGGGGTAAATGGGAACCACCGATCCAAATCACCAATTGGAGGGAAGCTGACCTTTGGGGCCAAAACTAAAACGGACCACGGGGAAACCAACATGTTAGGCCGCCGTTGGGCAAATGAGTCAAACATCACCTTTTATGTTACAGGCGTGGGACGCTCCAGCATGGTCACCTCTTGCGGCCTGCTCAGAAATAGCCTTGCAGTTTGGAGTGGCCTTTGCCCGCGACATCTACGTAGCACAACTCTTGCCGCAACGTTGCGGCCCTTTAAGAAGCAAGGAGGCTACTAAACCTAAACCTACATAATCACCAACACCCAAAACAATATATACATCAACATACCAGATTACAAATTTGATATTATCTTACTATCAATTTCAAAAAAAACTAATGATCTATTTCTCAACTGCCCTGTCACGACAAACGGGTCCCGCCTGATCATCTGCTGGTCGCGCGCGAACTTCTCGAGCTTTGGCACCAGTTCCGCCGAGAGGAACTTCGTCCACTTCACGTTCAGCTGCGCCAGTTGCTCGCGCCGAACCTGAACCACCGGACGTACTCATCTCTGTCCCATCCAGATTCGTGATCATTGTTTTGTTTTGCAACGGCTGAAGCTTAACTCGCAAAAAATGGTGTCCCATCCAGAGTAATTATGTGAACCTTGAAATACATGACGTCACAAGATACCAGGAATAAGTCACACATTGCAAAATGTGTTGTCTTCGCCACAGCATACATTTTGTGGAAATTTACCCGTAATTTTGCCAGTTGCTCACCTGGACCGTGTCCTCGATCCGGCAGCACTTCATGTTGAAGCCAAAATACGTCCGGGCGGCGAAAATGGGCCCTTCGGTGTAGGATTTTGGGAGGATCAGCGTCTTGTACTCTTCCTTGGACATCAGGATCCTTCAGGGTTCCCTGTATTCCTCCTGAACACATCACCCCTACAACGGGAAACTCAGCGCAGATTGGGCCAGAAGCATGATGTTTAAACCCGTTGACGGTGAAATTTAGGGACCCCTGTCCTCTGTATCACATCGCTCCTCAGCACCTTTCTGCCTCTTCCGTTCAGCCGCTGCTCCAGGTATGCCGCGTCTTCGCTGGTGTTCTCACCGCCGCTGGGAAAGGCAGCGTTGATCAACGAGTAGCCAGGGTCGCACACAGCCTAGCCCGGGGGAGTGGGGGAGTGGGGCACTCGTCGATCGACACATCCATAGGCTTCAATGTCGTGGCTAAGCCGCTACCTTGTGAAAAACAACAAAGAAACCGCAACATTGGCCTTGTTTTGTCCTTGTCATTGGCTCCCTTCATGGTTCCATGCTTTAGTCTTTCTGGGCAGGCTTAAGCGCAGGGGTGTTTGAAAGCCCCTAAGCGAAACTCCTGGGACTGAGTCATCCCCTCCCCTCTCATTTTCGGGGTCAGCCGCAAACGCCCACCTCCAGGCCGGCAGTCGTCAGCTCCTTGCAGACCTTCCACACGCCCCACCCCGATTTACTCCGTGGGTTGAGTTTGGAGGGCTGGACACGGGGGTTTGGCTTGGGGTTGGCTGGGAAACCCCAACGTTCTGCGTCACTGACCTTGAGCCCAAGCAGGCGCAGAAATACAGGGCCAGCATACCTCTTTCTTACTCCAAAAGAGATTGAAGCCACCCCGAGATTCCAGCCTTTGCGGGTTTTCAGAAAGGAACCCTGGGTACATGAAGGTGCTTGGTGTTAGAAACTGTAGGTATAGCCTGCTTAGTACAGCGACGCACCGTGGCTTTCCCGTGCCTCGGGCACCTCCCCCCCCACCCGGTTTTCGATGTCTCACCACCACCACCCCCCCCCCCCCACCCTCCCCACCCCCTCAAACCTCTCTCTACCCCCCCCCCCCGGCCTGTTGGAAGAAGGGTCCGTTTCGGATGCCCAGCTCTAGCTGTTGGATGCTTCGAAGTGCACCAGGCTGCAGCAGCCCCAAAGGATGGTCCGTGCGGTAGTACAGGAGCACCTTGATGGACCAAAACACCCACTTGCGGGGTACTCTTTCGGGTGCCATATCTTTTTGGGCTTTGGGGAAAACATTCAAAAATCAACCATCCATGGGGTGCCCTTATGTTGACACATTTCCCCCATTTCTCTCTGTGTCGCAACCCGCGGGGCTGAGCTCCAAGGGAAACGAAGCCAAGGGGGTCCTTCTCTTATGCCCGAATCTTCTCGTTCAATGGGTGTCCAAAAACGAACGATGGCAGAGAACGGGGAGCCAACCTCTATCAATGTTCCACCCCCGGACCTCACAGCTGCACCTGAAGGTTGAGACCACTGTTAAAAGAAAAACTGCACGCAGGGGTTGCCTTTGGGTTTCCTTGTGCAAAAAACAAGGACAGGCCATCATTTGGGCAACTGCAGTGGATTCAAATTGGGTTAAACCGAAAGGTCGGAAAGTCGAGACCTCTGAATTGTCCAACTGAAATTCAGGGAGGGCGTGATACTTTTGGAGGGGAAATGCCGGTTGTTTTGTACCTTTAAAGTGAGCCAATAGAAGGAAAAAACACAGGTTGGGGTGGGCCTAAAAACGCCATGCCCATGTGTAGGACCTTCCTGGGAGAGTTTGGCCTTCTGAAAGTCCAAAACCATGGCCTTCCCTGAACCCAGTCAGCCAGACCCCCATTACCACGGTAGGCAAGCAAATGTGATATATGATATATGTTACATATATGTTCCTTTCAGCCTTTAGGGTGGCTTGGGGGGACTGATCAAAAAGACCCCTCATTGAGGTTGGCGGTCCGAAGCGCTGGGCTACAAGCACGTCAGCCTTGCTTGCTTCTGACTCGGGGGGGGGGGGGGGGCGGATTTCGTGAAGCCCGCCTTGTCGATCTTGTACATGTCGCGGTAGTCGATGGCCGGCATGGAGCCGGTCATCAGCCTGCGGGCTGGCTCCCGGTGGGGCAGGGCCCCCAGGAAGGCGGCCCGGATGGCGTTGGATTGGCCATCCGCCTCCAGGAACACCGAGGTGTCGTTGTTCACCGAGAAGCCCGGCCACAGCACCGCCACAAGGACCGGGGTGGCCAACAGCACCACCAGGGCGAACAGCAGTGGGCAGTGCGCCGTGCAGAAAGGGAAGTCCCTGCAGGTGAAACAACGCCTTCGACTTTTGGGGTCCTCTTTGAGGTTGCGCACAGCCGCGCTCGCATCGGCCACCGACGCATTGGTGAGCGGCGACGGCGAATCCTTTGGACTTGCCGGGCTCACGGCTAAAACGCAGGTCCCCAGATCCATCGGTAGGCACAGATCTGTCGGCGAGTTTGGCTCCAAGGCTGGCGACCCACTGTCCTGAATGTCCTTCCCGCCCTCGCCCCTATTCTTGGCCTCCTGGCTGTCGTTCCCGTCCCGATCGCTACCTTGGCGGGACACAAAGCAACCGCACACAAGTGACAGGTGTACCTGTCTTTTCACCGCCGCAAAACTTTCAAAAATGGCCTGCCCCAACGACCAAAATCGCCCTCCCAGGTCCGGGTCACTCCCCTTGTCATCCCCAGCATTCCATCCGAAGCCATCTGCTCCAGAGGCCTGGCCATCACTGGAAGGCGCCGGCAACGGGGACTGTGGAGATGGACAAACGCCTCCATTGTCGGAGACTCCGGAGATTCTGGAGACTTCCAAAGGCACAGGAGCGCAAGCCCCGCTGCCCTCGGATGCCACCTGGTATGCATTGCCATGGGCATTTCCTTCTGTCAAATACGAGCCCACAGGTGAACCCATTGCCGATTGCCATGTTGGGATACTTGTCATACATTCAGCCTGTGATCTGAATGGTTGGTGTCTCTTCTGCTTTTCGTTTCTGTCGCTCACCAACATGAGTGGTTCCCTTTTGCAGTCATGTGGGCTCCCACCTCACTGGCCACTGCCTCGGCGTGAGCGTCCTCACTGCCTGGGGCGACCTGGCCCTCAGTGGTGTCCGAGGCAGCTGGCGAGGGCGCGCTCGGCGAGGGCGCGCTCGGCGAGGGCGCGCCAGGCACGCCCACACCCGCTCCCGCAGGCTGCAATTGGTTCCTGGGGCGCCTTTCAGGGTTCTCTCTTTGGGAACTGATCTTGGGACGTACCAGCACCCAATGACGTTCGGACACTTGGACCGTTCCGTTGGGGAAAAAAGCAGCTGTTGGGTGCCCGGGTCCAGCCCTGCCGCCTTCTGGAGCCCAGGGACCCTGAGCTGCGCGCCCAGCGCCGGCGGCGCTCCGGCGGTGCCCCATCCATGCATGGCCCGCCCGGAAAACGCCTGGTGCGGATGGGATGTCAGGTGGCCATCTGCTGGCGTCAGCCGCTGAGCTGAGCTGACGGACTCGTCAAGATGCAACTTTGAACCATGCGTCTGGAGCCTTTCTTTTTCAAGCTGGAGCCCCGCCCGCGGCGATCATGCAGCTCACAGTCCCAAAATTGTGGACACCCTCAAGACGCCGCCCCATAAAGACACCCCCTTGAAAAAACCTAAGCTTAGCCTAAATCAAAAAAATGGAGGTGGGGAGACGCACTCATAGCCTGAAGCCACTCACACACCCCGCAGCGAGACCCACCTCCGGGCCGGAAGTGGCACCTCACGCGGGACCCTCTGGCTCACAGGGGCTTGGTGCGAAGAAATACTGGCAAGCAAGCCAACACTACCTGGGAACCAGCCACCGTTTCAAAATACTGGAACCCCCCAAATGGTTGGTTTTGTTTCGGTATGCAATGCGGTAAATTCAACTATTACCTCAATACTCCACGCAGACATGCGCATCAACTCTGGTTTCCTGCAGGTTGCCTTGAACAGGTGCTCATTTTGATGCCCAATATGCTTTTGCTCGGTTCCAATCCGATAGCCCCTTCCTCCCACCCGATCGTGAGAACCTGCCGACGCTTGACTGCTAATTACTTTGGCATCCCATCGGTGTTTCGCATAGCAAATGAATTTGTGCAGATTGCAAGTTGGAGCAATGGGTGTGTCATTTTTCGTGGCAGGTTTAAAGGGAAACCAAAGGGGAAAACACAATGTTGAGGGGTCGCCCCCCCGCCACACACACACACAAACACAGACACAGACACAGACACAGACACAGACACAGACACAGACACAGACACAGACACAGACACAGACACAGACACAGACACAGACACAGACACAGACACAGACACAGACACAGACACAGACACAGACACAGACACAGACACACATACACATACACACACACACAGACACAGAAACACACACACACACAAACACACCATGACCAAGAGTCCAAGGCAAATTGCAGACCCTTGAGGGAGGGAAGGCTCCAGACCGGCGTGCGCCGCGCGAAAGCTGCCCAGCTCTTTCACTACATTCTAGGGGTTGATTCCCCATTCTTTTCAGCCATCGTTCTTTTCAAAAAACAGTCATTTCCCCAGGTTTTGGGTGGTTTTCCAAAAAAGAAGGATCCCCGAAAGAGTGGGGAAGTTACCACTAGATACGTGCCTTCTTGAACGCTCCAGGCCATTCTTGCGACAAGGGTGTGTATGTGTGTGTGTGTGGGTTCTTTTTTTTGTGTGTGTGTGTGTGTGTGTGTGTGTGTGTGTGTGTGTGTGTGTGTGTGTGTGTGTGTGTGTGTGTGTGTGTGTGTGTGTGTGTGTGTGTGTGTGTGTGTGTGTGTGTGTGTGTGTGTGTGTGTGTGTGTGTGTGTGTGTGTGTGTGTGTGTGTGTGTGTGTGTGTGTGTGTGTGTGTGTGAGTGTGTGTGTGTGTGTGTGTGTGTGTGTGTGTGTGTGTGTGTGTGTGTGTGTGTGTGTGTGTGTGTGTGTGTGTGTGTGTGTGTGTGTGTGTGTGTGTGTGTGTGTGTGTGTGTGTGTGTGTGTGTGTGTGTGTGTGTGTGTGTGTGTGTGTGTGTGTGTGTGTGTGTGTGTGTGTGTGTGTGTGTGTGTGTGTGTGTGTGTGTGTGTGTGTGTGTGTGTGTGTGTGTGTGTGTGTGTGTGTGTGTGTGTGTGTGTGTGTGTGTGTGTGTGTGTTGTGTGTGTGGTGTGTGTGTGTGTGTGTGTGTGTGTGTGTGTGTGTGTGTGTGTGTGTGTGTGTGTGTGTGTGTGTGTGTGTGTGTGTGTGTGTGTGTGTGTGTGTGTGTGTGTGTGTGTGCAGTTGGCTTTTTCATGCCGCACGCTCACCACTGGAACAACAACTGCTCACAACTGCAATGAGTGCTCATACCCCCCGCCTGCTCCCAGACCTGAACCGGCTAAGCTACCTCAGAGCAGCGCGAGTGCATTGCAAATTCAGGCTGCCCCCCCTTTCCCCCTTTGCACGCACTAGCGGCGGGAGACAAGGCCCAGGCTCTGGTAGTGTTTGACTGCTTAACTGGATTTTAAACCTACCTCCGTCTGGCTAGATCCTTTGCTGGTGCCGGATTGTTCGAAGGTTGCAATGCAGCTCCAAACAACTTTCAAACAATTGCCAAGCAGTTCCAGAAAGTTTACAAATCATGCGCCAACCACTTACAAACAATGGCCACACAATCTTCAAACGCTTGCCGAACAAATGCAAAACAACATCCAAACATTGACCATTGGTTTTTCCAGCGTGTGCATAAGAGTTCCACTCCCCAGCCCTTCTGAAAACAATCTGCCGAACTTGGAAGGCAACTAGAATCTTCCAAACAGAGCTGCCAAACCATTCACTCAGGCGCAGGCCGCCCCCAAAAGCGCCCGAGAGCGAGCTGCTGGAAGCGCCTGCCAACCCACGCAAGCCGCCCCTTCCGCGTCAGCCGCCCAGCCCTCCCAGCCATCAAGTGACAACCCAGCCATCCTGCTTGCACTAACATCTATGCTACTCGTCCCATGCTGAAACCGGCATGTGCTAGACCCCGCCTCCACCGCCAAAAGGGCCTGAACCCCCTGAACTACCTCAGGAAGCTGCTCATTGCTCCGTGCTCTGCTACCTTCTGACACCGCCTCTTACTTGCAAGCGGTAAGCTCATGTTTGACTCCAAAGTTGAAGGCAAAACTTTCCACAGCCAAGTTGATTCAGCCAGAGCCAAGGAGCGACTGGCTTGGCCATATCCCTCAACATGCCTGGCTCCTAAAGTCCGAAATGGTTCTATGGAGCCTGATGTGACCTCCTGGTTGGAAGGCGACTTTTTTCATAAGGCGCTGGCCGCCCCCAAACGCGCCCGACAGCAAGCTGCTGGAAGCACCTCGTTCACAAGCTCGCTAAATCACATGCCACCAATCAGAACTGTCGGCCAAACAACCCTCTTCCCCATGCAATGCGCCAGAGACACAACGCTCGCACCAAGCAACAAACCCCGAACCATCAAAACGCCTTCAAGCCCATTCAACAGCCGCCCTCATCCCCCACCCAATGTTGCACGCCAGCCTGCGAACAAGCTAGCGCCAGCAGAGTCGCCTTACAGCGAAGTCGTTTTTGTCTTGCCTCGCCCACGCAGGGCACTCGCAGGGCGGAGGCAACTTCCTAAACCCTAAAACCTATTCATCAAAACCAGACATGAGCAGAGCGTGGAAGCTCCCTCTGCACACCCCGGGGCTCAAGATCCCACCATGTGGCTGGCACACACTTGCAAGAGATCTCGCAAAGAGACCTGCAAAGCAAGGGACTGAGGCCGTCACTACTGCCAAAAGCGCCCGAGAGCGAGCTGCTGGAAGCGCCTGCCAACCCACGCAAGCCGCCCCTTCCGCGTCAGCCGCCATCAAATGACAACCCAGCCATCCTGCTTGCACTAACATCTATGCTACTCGTCCCATGCTGAAACCGGCATGTGCTAGACCCCGCCTCCACCGCCAAAAGGGCCTGAACCCCCTGAACTACCTCAGGAAGTTGCTCATTGCTCCGTGCTCTGCTACCTTCTGACACCGCCTCTTACTTGTAAGCGGTAAGCTCATGTTTGACTCCAAAGTTGAAGGCAAGACTTTCCACAGCCAAGTTGATTCAGCCAGAGCAAAGGAGCGACTGGCTTGGCCATATCCTCCTAAAGTCCGAAATGGTTCTATGGTGCCTGATGTGACCTCCTGGTTGGAAGGCGACTTTTTTCATGAGGCGCTGGCCGCCCCCAAACGCGCCCGACAGCGAGCTGCTGGAAGCACCTCGTTCACAAGCTCGCTAAATCACATGCCACCAATCAGAACTGTCGGCCAAACAACCCTCTTCCCCATGCAATGCGCCGGAGACACAACGCTCGCACCAAGCAGCAAACCCCGAACCATCAAGACGCCTTCAAGCTGGCCTTTCCATTCAACAGCCGCCCTCATCCCCCACCCAATGTTGCACGCCAGCCTGCGAACAAGCTAGCGCCAGCAGAGTCGCCTTACAGCGAAGTCGTTTTTGTCTTGCCTCGCCCACGCAGGGCACTCGCAGGGCGGAGGCAACTTCCTAAACCCTAAAACCTATTCATCAAAACCAGACATGAGCAGAGCGTGGAAGCTCCCTCTGCACACCCCGGGGCTCAAGATCCCACCATGTGGCTGGCACACACTTGCAAGAGATCTCCCAAAGAGACCTGCAAAGCAGGAGACTGAGGCCGTCACTGCTGCCAAAAGCGCCCGAGAGCGAGCTGCTGGAAGCGCCTGCCAACCCACGCAAGCCGCCCCTTCCGCGTCAGCCGCCCAGCCCTCCCAGCCATCAAATGACAACCCAGCCATCCTGCTTGCACTAACATCTATGCTACTCGTCCCATGCTGAAACCGGCATGTGCTAGACCCCGCCTCCACCGCCAAAAGGGCCTGAACCCCCTGAACTACCTCAGGAAGTTGCTCATTGCTCCGTGCTCTGCTACCTTCTGACACCGCCTCTTACTTGTAAGCGGTAAGCTCATGTTTGACTCCAAAGTTGAAGGCAAAACTTTCCACAGCCAAGTTGATTCAGCCAGAGCCAAGGAGCGACTGGCTTGGCCATATCCCTCAACATGCCTTGATGGCTCCATATGGCTCCTAAAGTCCGAAGCGACTTTTTTCATGAGGCGCTGGCCGCCCCCAAACGCGCCTGACAGCGAGCTGCTGGAAGCACCTCGTTCACAAGCTCGCTAAATCACATGCCACCAATCAGAACTGTCGGCCAGACAACCCTCTTCCCCGCGCAATGCGCCCAGCAACACAACACTCGCACCAAGCGCCATCAAGACGATTTCAAGCTGGCCGTTCCACGCGTTCAACAGCAACCGCCAGCCTCCGAACAATCCAGCGCCAGCGGCGTCACCTTTCAGCACCCCCCCCCCCCCCAACATTGGGCGTGGCTCAAGATCCCGAA